AAACACATTTTAAAATAGCCATTGTGGTATTAGATACAAACACTTGCATTAATAAAGCCTAACTTTTACTGAGGTCCTTAAGTCAAGTATTACTTGTTACTAAGCAATTGAAAGCCCGTCTCTTGATGGCATTTCAAAGCATTACAGTATTTTTTAATTCAAGGTATTTCAAGGTATTGCAGTACTTGATTTTCCCAACCTTTTGTGCCCTGCTTTCCTAAATATGCAAATGAAAAGCCTAGAAATTCTGTCTTATTCAATTGTCGTGTACCTGTCATCACAATACCGAGACACCTGCCTATCTCCTTTACAGAACTATTATGAGAGTGCATTCATTAAAGCTTGTGACATTCTTGGAGATCCTCGGATGGAAGGTGCTAATGAGTTGTAAAATATTATAATGATGCTGCAGAATATTCAGGCTCTTTGTAAGGCAAACCTTGCATCTTCCCTTCGTTGCTTTCCTGTTTCTAGATGCGTATTTTGCAATAGAAGGTAAGTCTAAAAAGGGGGGAAACGGGATTAAACAAAGTAGATTGCTAATGCTGCTAGTTTTCTTGTGAGATACCTAGTTGTTTTTATGCACTACTTTGCTTATTTCTCATTTCTTATTGTCTCTCCAATGAACCCGTACTTCAATAGCTTGTTCAGAATTCTCTGAACACTCAGAAATGTCAAGGGAGAAGATTTTCTTCTTCAGATTGCCAAGGCCTTCATTTGCATCCCCTAAATCAATTCTCACACATGATCAAAGCAGCTCTGGAAATTTTCAAGTGTGGGGAAAATCAGGCCTCTAATTCCTTCTCCTCTTAATATATGCAGTCAGGTTCCAAAGCATTAAAAACAAAGATCTTCATCCACTGAATCTAAAACCACATGAATTTTATGCCTCTTTGCATTCAAAGGATTGCAACTGTGTATATTAAGGACAGCAAGGCTAGAAAAGATGTAACAGGTCATCTATGTATGTTTTCTCTTCAAACTCTCACATTGCCGTAGCCTTTTGTTGTGGAGTTTCCTTTTGAGTGACCCAAAAGATGCCAATTCTGCCTGTTGCCTTACAAGAGTACTCTGTGGTTTCATAGACCTCATTGTGCAGGATTAACTTTTTATCTTCACCTTGAATGATCTACTTCTTAGTGTCATTATTGTTCATTCTTCCTGCTTGGCTTAGACAGATAAAGCCATATCACAAGCAAAAAATACTCCAGTTCAAATTCCCCAGATACTTGGGGATTCTCCTATTGCTTTTTCGAGTGAGAAGGGGAGGAGCTGGAGTGGGGCTGTAATACACCTCCTCAGAAACTGGTCTGTTGTTGCCTTCATCTAATATTTTGCTTGGCTGTGCATGCAGCTCTCTCATGAGCTTGATTACTACATAGTCTCTATGGCAATTGGTTTCCTTTCAGAAGTGGTTTCAGGGCAGCTGTGATAAACCAAATGCTCAGTGGAGGAGATAAAGCTAGGTTCTGAGTTCTATCTTCCCATTAAAAGCAGTCATAATCTGGGAACAAACTAGTATGCAGCCATTTATTGTACTGAGATGAAAATAAGCCCACAACCAGTTCTAGCCTCTTTATTTAAAGACTGGGCCATTTTCTCAACCTAATTCTAGACTGAGTTCTAGACCCTTTCTCCATGCTTCCCCTTTTGAACAAGGGCCAAAATCTAACATCTAGAAGGACCGGTGCATATTCCACATATATCCAGAATCTCTTATGATCCTGAGCTGTAACGATCAGGTCCAGATCTGCTGTGACTGAACTGAGCACATCTCGCTTCTCTCTTTATTTATGGCATGCACTGGCTTCCTTTAAGTAGCAAGCAAAGGCATTCATTTTTACCTATCACCTTATCTTTGTATTTCTGGCTGCTCAGCTCCATTCTGACAAGTGCAATAAATGTGTTCTCCTGGGTCCTTGCAAGCTGGGCATTAGTCACACTGTGCATTTCAAGGACATCAGTCCAATAGGTTTTCAGCTGTAACGGAAAACATGTTCTGCCAGGAGCCATTTGTTCCAGTTTTGTTGCTTACCAATAAAATACAAATCAATGGTGGGTTTTTTATTTGTTGGGATTTTTTTTGTGCTCGAGAAGCAGGTCAAAGAGTAGGAGGGAGATAAGTGGGAAAAATGAAGGTGCTGAAGTTGGTTCTCTCAGTTTCTCTGCAATAATGGCATGTGGCATTTCATATAAAGCGAGTATCTCTGTCAACCTGTGAAATACAGTTACCTTTGGCAAACAAGATAGCTATTGTTTAACAGCAAACAGCACTGGTGCATAGCAGGTCTCACACTGGGCTGTTTAAATTAGATTTAGCTTTGTGAAACAAAAGGTATTCGAGAGGGTGTTGTATTTGCCGTACTTTTAGAGTAAATGCCAATGGAGCATCAGTCTGCTATGGATCAGAATTGCATTTTGGTATCTCCACCACAGGTGGAGTACCCATAATATCTGTATCCTCAACTATGAAACTGCCCCTGCAAACCACTTAGTCATCTAACTAAACAAAATCATCCAACTGATCTTAAAATACAGGCTAATTCTTGGCTTTACTGAATCAGTGCCTTAGTCACAACTGAGTCGGAGGAGTTTTGCTTAGAGAGTGAAATGCAATCGGTGCTTTTTCCTTCCTTGGAAGTTTCTCGGTTTCATCATGACTGATTCAGCTGATTAGTTCATCTGAGCTGGTAGTGTGGTTGTGCAATAAATAAGGTTTACCTGGACATAACATTTCTTCATTTAAAAATGTCTCTCCTTCCTAATTTTGCAGATTCAGAATCATTTAAAGGAGTCGCAATGGTATCACTGAAGACCCCTTCTTAATGAGTCGATGGTAGCGTGCTTTCCCCTGCTGCAATGCACGACACAGCCCAAGTGGACTGCAGAGCAGATTTTGCTCTTTAAACTGTCTTTTCAGCAACACTTCATGAACCCAGATTATTCTTCAGTTTAAAGGTAATAATTTATTTTGCAGATAGTGTTTTAGAGTACATATGAATATATTTGCATGTGAGCTGGCCACTGACTTACAAGCCCTCTTCAGATACTTTATATTACATTCAAGATCTGTGCATAGTTATATTCCTAATCAAAATCCAGTATTTGGGCAAATAAATTTGTATTGCATCATGTATTCATCAATGGGCAATCTTCTTTCAACGAATAATATATTGCCTTGCAAATCCTTATTAACGGGCTGGTTCTTACTCATGTACTAAATTAGTTTGAGAGTCATACTGAGCTGGACAGCCCTACTACTCTCCATACAAAAGAAAAATACCTAATGTAGCATACTGTCAGCTGAAGCTAAGTTGGCAGAATGTAAAGACTCAGCTAGCTGGCAACAGATGGGCTACAGGCTTCTTCTGACATGATCTGCCATCCAGCATATGTTAGACCGCCTGAAAAATCAAGGGGGTTTAGACTGAGGCTTTGTTTAAAAAAAGAAATACGTCTTAGCTTTTGATAGAGGTGGCCTACAGCACAGTCAGAGGAGTAAATGTGGAGTAACTTGGTTAAGGTTATCCACAGCACAGGAAAACAGCTGTGGTGTTGTTCATCGCATTGGTTCTCTTCAAAATCCTTTTCTTTTTTGCTTTGCACACACTCATATTAACAAATGTGCTTAAGAAACAGCAAGTAAAGCTGGTTGGGCTTGAGGATGGGTGGGCAGAACAGCTTGCCTTTGAATATCCAAATGCCATAGACCAGTTTCTGCCAACTGAGACCTCAGTGCCTCGTCGAGGGCTGTGAATAGACTGGTTTCTTGCCTTGGGTAGGGGCAAACAGGTAGCGAGCTTGCAAAGTCAGGTAACACATTGGGCTTGCCTTGGGCAGGAGGGAGGAGGAGGCTTTCCCAGAACAGATCCATCTTGGCATTTAAATTGCATAGTGTTTTAAAATAAAGAAATAACACAGCTCTGGGATCTTGAACATTCTGGACTTTATTTTTATTTCCCTGTGGGAGGGGAATGGCTAATAGGTACCAAGCATGAGTAGTCATATCTAATTATAAAACAAGTTGGTTGCATTTTAGTTGTCAAAACTCTGATCATCTTCTATCGAAGCATTTTCTACTGGAAGTTTTTGACCAAAGAGCAAGTTAAGTTTTTGTTATAGGATAGGTTCTGTGCAACTTAATTATTCATATGAAACTTATTGATTTAGGTAGGACTTGTGAGATTTTTCCAAGCAGAACTAATAGACTTTTGCCTTGATAAAAGTCAGTAAAACTGCACTAATAAAGGTTTCTCACTCGGCAGAGTATTTGCTTGAACTGTGAGTATTGCTATTCCTTCTTTTGGGCAGGCTTAATGCTGCATCCCAGGACTTTCCTTGGTGCTCATGCTGCAAAGAAACCCTTTGGGTCTACAAGCACCAGCTGGGAGAGCCATGAAGGTGCTTAAAGGTGTGTGCATCTTTGAAGCAGACACACCTGCACAGCATTACCATTTTAGAGCTTTGAAAACACTGCAAGAAAGCATTGATGTGTTTCATTGCGTGCTGTGGGCAGGTGTTGGTGGTTTGACCTGTCCTGGAGGGGGTCAGAGCGCAGCAGATGACCTGGGGCTGTGCATCCCACTATGGTGGACTTGGCATCAGTATTGGATTGGGTTAAAAAACAGCTTTTTGCCGAAGAGATCTGTGAATGCTGAGGTGAAAGCACTGAAATAGGTCTGAGACCTGAACTTTCTGCATCGTTGGGGGTTCAATCAACCTTTCATTAACCAGCTGGGTCCGGTTCCAGCGGGCAGCACCTCAGCCCTGATTCCCAAGTGCCCGCAGCTGCCGCGGGAGGTTCAGCTGCTGCAAATAAACCCAGAAACCCATCAAACCACCCCAAAACCGCGGGCCGGAGCCGCAGGCTGCGGGGCCGGGCCCCGACCGCCAGCAGGCGGCGCTCTCCCCCGTCCCTCCCCGCCGCGTACATGGGCTCTCCCGCATCCCCCGCGCTCGTTGGTTCGCTCCCTCCCCCGCCTGGGAACGGGCGCGGGGGGACCGGCCGCGCTCGCCGCCGCCATTTTAGGTGCCGCTGGCGGGGGAGGGAGGGGAGGACCGGTGAGCGGAGCGGGGCAGCGCTTCTCCTCCCTCCTCTTCCTCCTCCTCCTCTTCGGGGCCGAGCCGTGCCCTCCGCCCGGCGCAGAGCGGAGCGCGGACCAGCGGGGGCGCCACAGCCGCCCCGGCAGCCGGGGGTGCGCGCTGCCCTGCACCGCTCCGCGCTGCCATGCCGCCGCGCCGCCCGGGCATGCCGCGTTCGCTGCTGCCGGCCCCCGCCGCCTGCCTGCTGCTCGCCGCGCTGCTCTGCGGAGGAGCGGCGGCCGCTCGAGGTAAACAGAGCCGGGGCGCGGGTGTGGGAGGATGCTCGGCACCGGCAGGGGGGAGTGGGGGGGGGTGGCAGGTCGAGCTCACCATCATCGGCTTGCGCCTACCGCTCCCCGGGCGCCCTGTGGGGCTGTGCCGCCGGCGGACCCGCCGGGCGGGGGGCCGGTGCCCTTGGCTCAGTTCGCCCTTTGAGGTTGGGGGGGAGCGCGGAGAGGACATCGCGGCGGTGCGGTCGGGAAGGAGGGCGCTGGCCGCCCCTCCCCGGGGCTCGCTGGGGGCCCGCGGCTGTTGCACCTGCGGCACCAAGGGGAGGGCAGGTGGGATGGGGGGGGTGCTCACCTGCGTCCCCCGAGCCCCTTCCGACCGCGAAGGTCAGGCCTCGGCCGCGGGGCCCGGCCCGGCTGCGGGGGGATGCGCGGCGGCGCTGGGTGCCGGCCGCCCGCCCGCCTGTTACATAACGGCTCCCTCAGGCGGGGTCCGCACTTGTTGAGGGGGGGTTCCGCTGGCGAAGGCCCCCGGGAGCCGCTGCTGCCCGGTGCGGAGCGGCCCGGGCGCTGCAATCGAGCGGCAGCGCTTGGAAAGGCGCCACGGCAGAGCCGTGACGGGCTTGGGCTTGCCTGGGGGAGAGCCGCGGTGGCCGGCGGGGTGGGAAGGGGGAATAAAACCCCCTCGGGGAGCCCGTGGGGAGCCGAGCCTTGGGGCTGAGGTGGAGAGCACCCGGCGGTGGTGAGCGAGAGGAGGGAGGTTTGCGGAGCATGGAGCGGTACGGCGGTTCTAAACGTTGGCCTGGTGGCTATTGATTGATCTTGTGGAGTAAAAGTATACGCATTGCAGGTCTCCTCCTGAGCAGATTTCCATGAGAGGCTTGCAAACGTTTCCTTACCTGAAGGTTACCTCTCGAATTGAGAGGGCCGTTTCTGCAAGATTTACTTGATCATACGATGGGATTTGAGATCGTGTGTTTAATTTGAACATAGATCAGAAGCGTGGCTGCAAAATGCCTTGCAGATATATTGGAGGGATGTTCTTGAACAGAAACAAGTCATTAAGGGCACATCTTGCTGCAGTTTCCCTACATAGGACCAAGAAGCTGCTGCTGTAAGTCAGCAGCCAGCTGTTTAGATAGCGGCTATGATTTACCTGTGGGAGATCTCTTTAAGTTCAACCTATTCACTAGCGTTCCTGGAACCATGACATTTAATGCTCAACCCACTAATACAGCCAGGTGGCTTTTCTATCATTCTAAGTCATGCATAGAACTAAGACTAAAACCTGTTTTCAAAGTAGCTAACATGTGCTTGGAAATAAATGGCAAATTTAGGCAGCTCTGACAGCTCTTGTGCAGTTTGTGGAAGGCTCTGCTCGTCTTCGTCTCATCTACAGAGCTGTTGGACTGCAGGTCCTGAGCTGTTAAACTTAATCACACATTACTGTTTGATATCTGCTTTGGCTCAGTATGTGCATTAGTCCTGGAGGCTTTTTGGCTACTGCAGGGAGGCCTGTAAATAGTGTTACATGAGGATGCATTTAACAAGTAAGCTCTGGAGAGCACCTGGAAAGCTGCTCAGGTAACTCATTTCCCTGTTGTTAGGAGAAACAATTGTTTGGAGGCATTTGTGGTAAACTTCCAGGTTTGGGCTGTGTTTTCAGCGCCGTTTTCCTTTCAAGTTCACCTGAGATATTTTTCACCTGTGACTTTCGAGCTGGTTGGGTTCAGGTTCTAAAGAGGTGAATTCTTGTTCAGCTGATGTACAAATCTCAATTTCACTGGATTTATCGTGTGATTGGTCAAGTTGACCTCAATATTGCAAAGCTTGCTGGACTAACGTTGCAGTAGAAAAGCTGTAGCTAGTGGTGCATTCACATAGTGCTTGTCAGAGTGAAGCAATTGGATGTTTATCGACAGAGCTGAATGGGGAATCGGAATGGAATGACTTTTCTGACGAGAAGACAGTGCAGTTAATGGCTGCTGCTTCTGGGCTTACTGACCAGGTAGAGGGATATACCTCTGTTGCCTTGAGTCCCTTCCAAACTATGGTCATTTAGGGAAGGGTATTGATCAAAATAATGCTACCTTGATGAAGCTTTGCTGATCTGTGATTATTTCAGGAAGTTATCTGGTGCTATGAATGTTTTAAATCTAAACCACAAACCACTTTGTCACTACCACGGTCTTACTGCAGATGTTTCTTTGACACAGGAACAACCTTCATTATATGGGGCTGGTGGTTAGTTTCTATCTCCTTTCTAGAGGCAAGGCAATTTAAGACTATCTGAAAGACAATTTGGCTATTTCTGGTGGGTTTTTTCCCTCTAAGGATTTATAAAAGCAAGAGAACACTGAGAAAAGACAGAATTAACCAGTGCTAGACCTTTCTATGATGCATAATGCATGCAAAAGCATAATATACAGCCATCTGTTTAGGGAAACTATTTTAATCTCTTTTCCTGTACATATTATATAAAATAATACAGTGCTGAGGAAATGGAGGGCAAGCATGGTTTACTTTGTGTGTTTGGAATACTCTTGTGCCAGTTGACTTCTCCCATGTTATCAGACTGCAGGTTGAGCTGCCTGTGCCAAGTTATCAGGGAAATGTATCAACAGCAACATTTCTAGACTTGTAGATAGATAACGTTTCTGCATGTTTGGAATCACCAAATTGCAAAGGCGATGATTGGGGTTTTTTAGGAGCAGGACAGAAGCTGGGCTCATGGATTTCCATTTCTCATGGCTTGGAGTTAAACCCAGACCAAGCCACAGGACCTTATCTCAAACAGATTAAATTAGAATTTGGGTAAAGCAGCATTTTCTGCTGTGAAAATCTATGTATCTGATAGCTTTGTGTCTATGAAACTGTTCTTCAGAGGAGAAAAAGCTTGTGTAGTCATTGATGTTCTCTGAACAAAAGCGCTTTACCATTTTCCTGAGCCATATCTCATTGTCTGTAGCTGCATTCAGAGAATGTCTCTCAGATTTTGTGATATTAAGGGGCATAGTGATACCTCACAACATAGGAGCATTCAGGAAGTCAGAAACCTTGGTCTAAAATCTTATTTTGCCCTCTAATTCATTCGATTCATACTGATTGACTCATGGTGGCTTCAACAGGGACTAAACCTCCTTAGGAGCCTTTAGAAAGGATTATTAGAAACCTGAGCACCTTTGAAGAACTGTCTGTCTGTCTTTTGTTTATAGTGTTAGGTCTCATCTCACTTGCTTTGTATTCGGGCTGAAAGCAAGTTGCTGCTGCAGCTCCCAGTTGGTTTCCTTGTTTTTAAATGGGATCAACAAATAGAGCCAGGAGTGCCAGCTAGACTGAGATGATGGTTGCTGTATTCATAAATAAGATTCCCTTTCAAGGAGTGAAGTTTATAAATATGAGAGCAGTTAGAAAGTGATTTCCATTCTTGCACTAGAATTAGCCACATTTAAAAGAGAATTTATTAAATGCTCATAGTTTTCTATTTCAGTGTTCTGCTTTAGCTTAAAACATGTTAAATTTCACTTAAAAAAAGTAGGGCTTTGATGCCCTAATCCTGTTTAGGCTGTTCTGTGCTGGAATATTTCTGGTTTGCTGTTTTCCCTGCCAGGCTTTTAGCCCAGTAGAAATTTGGTCAGTAGGTCCTCTGTCTGTGATCTTTGGTGCTCTGAGCGTTTCTTCTGCTGCAGCTGTGGATGCTAAAAGCTGTGACTAGTTTGTGCGTGGTTTGCATGTAGCTTAGTTTCAAGCTCATGGCAAAACTTCCATGTATCTTTGTAGAAATAAATTCAGATTTAGGCCACTGGTTCAGTGTACAACAAGAAACTCTCTGTAAGTGGTGATAAACCAGAGATTGTTCCTTAGGCAAACTATAATTTAATAAAACGCGTTATATTTCTACAGCCGTTAGCTTGAATATGGTGGATGGAGAATTACTGTTAACTGTGCTGGCTGAAACCGACAATTTATAAGCATTACCTTGTGCTCCCGCAAGGTAAAAGAATCTCATGTGTCAAAGAATCCAAGATAGAGATCTGAAATTGTGGGGTGAATTTCAACTACCTGATTTTCCTTCAGCTAGGAACCGTAGAGGTTAATGTTGTGGCTGCCCCTGCCCTTACCTAATAATCCCTTTCCTTGTGCAGATTCATCTCTGTATAATCTATTACTGCCTACAGCTTTCATGTCCCAGTAATGGGAATTAGTTTGTCTTGGAAACCCATACCAGAGAAAAGTGCCATGCTATCAAGAAACTCTGCATTTGAGCAAAACTTGTGTGCAGTTTTAGCCCATGGTTTGTACCTGGTTGTAAAACAATGTTTTTTGGTAAAATTTGAGGTATGAGAAGACCCCATTTAATGAACAAATACAATAGATCTTTTCAGAACCACTGAGATAGTTCAAGTTGTTTATATGCAAAATTAATCCTCACCTTTTTCTCACAAGAGGAACAGCTCTGCATTGCAGGTTGGCTGAGCTTAGGGCAGGAGCAGAACACACATTATAATCAGGCTGTGCTACACCCTTTGTTATTAAACTTTACTTTCAGGGTGGAGGAGGCATTATTTTATTGTGTAGATCTTTACTCCTTGGCTGAGCTATATTTTTCTGTGGTTCTGTACTACTCAAACTTGTTGCTTTAATGATATTGCATGGAATTTCATCAGAACAAAACTAAACTATGAATTGTCAGGGTAAGACATACTTGAGAGTTTTTATTGTCTCTGAAAGGCATACTTGCCTCTTTTACATCAAGAGAAACACAATTAAAAGGATGTACAGCGATCAATTATTGTCAGACCTTCAGGACAGGAGTAGAGAATGATTCTGCTTAGTTTATTGAGTGCAGTTCATTTGAATTGACAGAGAATATAATTCTTGGTATGCAATCTCTGGGTTTTTCATGAAGTCTCAAAGGTGGATTTTACAAATGAGTGTCTTAATTGTCACTGGGTTGAACACCTAGCTTTCAAACTCTAGCACTTGTTACATCATCTTCATCTGTTTCTAAAGGTAGCATGGGCTAAACAATGCTGTACATTAAAGTAGATACCCAGAAGAAAAAGTATATTCCATTACAGCCCTTTCTGGTTGAGGTGTGTCTAAATCTTCACTTATGTAGGTGCCAGATCCCATTTAAGTCAAATTAGTGTTCTGACCACTTGTAAGAAGATAAAGGAAGTCCTTGGAAAGGACTCTGATAAGTACATTTAACTTTAATATGTTCACATTCAAATAATAGAACAGGATTAATTCTGATTTGTTTGAAGATCATAGCTTTTGATTAACATTTCCATACTAGCCCTAACCCCCCCTGCTCTGCCTATATATTAGTTTACTTTCATTAATTGTTTTAAGCAGCAAGGGAAAGTTGCTGCTGGTTGATCTGATGTGTATTCTGCATTACTTTTGGTGAAGCATCCTTTCTTTGAGGTGCTTTCCTTTTTCTGCAGTTCCAGTCATTGTTAGTAAAAGCTGGTCTGTTCATTCATGGGAAACTGAACGGATTTACCTAGAGTACTTTAAAAAGCTGTGTTCAAGGCATACATCACGTCAGGTACCAGTTTCCTTTCCTCCTATGTAGTTTAGCAGCAGTTATCTTTAGATAACCCTGCTTAGGTGGCTCGTGCTCACCTTGCAGATGTGTTCAGCCATTGCTTGGCAGCAGTAAAGGCGCTAGCATGAGCTGTTACAATTCAGTGGGCAACTTGGAAAAAGAGGGATGCTCAGCTGGCTTTAAAGTATTTTTTGGCCACTAAAAGCTAAGTAGAAGTCAGCTTGCTGTGTTGTGCCAGGGTAGCTTCCCCCACTTGACTAGATTAAATGCTAGTTGGGATTTACAACAGATTCCAGTTGAGGCGCTTACAAATAGTGTGAATATCGTGTTTCAAGGAAACCAGTGTAGTTTATCCCAGTTAAATGGCAAGAGATTAACAGCTCAGGGACTTTGTTAGTGTCAAGCTTGGAATGGGTGGACTTTTGGTTTGAAATTAACAGTTTATTTGAACAACTTCCTCTAGATTTTAGGAGTTTTGTGACAATTAGAAAGGTAGAAAATGGGAAAGGATGGTTTTCAATCCAACATTTAGCAATATTTAAGCCAACCAAGATCAGAATAATACTTGGTTCAATTTCATGGTTGGTTCAGGGGCAGTGGTAGTGTATCACTCATAAGTTGTGCCTCATATTTCAAATGCTAGCTGGAGAATTTCTTACAGTGTGTAGTTACGCTGGAGTCAGGAGATCACTAATATGGATAACGGGCTTTTCCTGGATATTCAGCAGTAAGTTTGGTGTTCTCAAATCCGGTGATGGTTAGCCTTCATAAACACTGAGGGATTTAAGCTTTATGTTTTAAAATCTGGTGATGTTTTAGCCTTCCTAAACACAAAGGGGTTTAAGCTTTATGATTTTATTGTCTGCAGCACAATAAAAGGACATGACTTTGCTTTTAACTGAGCCTGTTGTTTGAAGGTTCACTAGACTCTGCAGATGCTTAACATACTCATAATTCTGTTCATATGTGGTTGCAGTGCTTCAAGCTTTTATAGTACTTCCTTACCCTTCAGTAGTGGGATTTACTGTGGGTTGCTAAATCAGGAGAAGGTTTCTCAGTGCTTAAAACCAATTAATTTGTCATCTGCATTGAGAAGCATTAGAATGGAGATGGAGAGGGGTTTGGCAGAGATCTTTTTTAGGATTTTATACTAGGTCCTTGCAAAGAAGATGAATGAATGAAGGGGGTCTGAGCTGTTTGATGTTGTTATCGGTGCCTTCCTTCCAAGAAAGGAACGATGATGCGTTAGAGCCTCTGAGCATGGCAGAGTTCCTTTTAAAACACCACGTTCCTTGGAGGGTGCTGCAGCAGTGTACTTCTCTGGGTAAACAGAACCGTGTGGTTGACATTGAGCTGGCTGTTTGGTATGCTGAATATTGAAAGCATGCCCATGTGAGGCAATTGAGGCAGTAAAGATAGTGTTGCCATACTGAGTAAAACCACACGGTGGTAATTAAGCACTATTTGCATTAAAATAGTTTGTTGTGAGTTCTCTCTTGCTGCATTATTATGTATGAAGATATTATATCCTGTCTAGCAGTTTGTTGCTAGTAACAAGTAAAAGATTGCAGATGAAAGCGTATTGGGAGAGTATTATGGTTTCCTGTGAGAGTTCTGTCATTTTTAATCATTTGCTTAAGTGTCATTTTGTCACCATTTAGTTTAACTCCCTGAAGAACAGCCCACCAGCTGCATCCCAGGTTTTCCTTGTTGGAGAGCAGTAAACAAGTCCTTGTGTTTCATGTTGGCCAGTCATTTTTCATCTGGTGCTGAGTATAGGTTTTCCTGGTGTCACACTTGGCACTGATGGCAGTGACTCCCCATCACTGTTAGAAGGTTTTTGAGTTGTATTTCAGGGACATCTTAAATCCCAGCATAGTTAAGAGACTAATTTAGATTCTCTGAGTTACTTTTGGGAAGCCTGCAGGGACACTGAACTCTTCTGAATATATGTGGCCAGGATTTTGTCTCAAAGGTTTTAATTTAGTAAAACGCAAATTCAGATTTAGAAAAATGAAAGAGGAAAATACTGAAATCAGTATTATAAAACATTTTCTAAAGTTTTCAGTTTCAAACGTTTTGACTTTGTTTTCCTTTCAGTTAACAAGCATAAGCCATGGATTGAAACAACCTATCATGGTATAGTTACAGAAAATGACAACACAGTGCTCCTGGACCCCCCTTTGATAGCCCTGGACAAAGATGCACCTCTGCGTTTTGCAGGTAAAGAATTCATCTGCATTTCTTTCCTAAGAACTGGAAATGCTTTCTTGAGGACAAATGCTGTGTGTTACTTACTGTGTTTTCCCTAACAGCAGCATAATGCTTCCAAGCTTTTAAACCCTAGGGGATGTTTGTGCATGGACCAGAGTTTTGTTTCATATTTATACCTGTAGCTAAATGTCCAAACCAGAGAGCATTCTATATTGCAGGTATTCCGTGTTTCTTTCAATGTCATGTGCTTGTGTGAGTTCTGCTTTTGGGGGAGTTACATTGGTTTTCAGGGTTTTTTTTTGCATTAGCGTCTTTTCCTCCATCGCCTGGATTCCACATTTCACAGCATTCAGTCTAGGAGTTCTGAAATAATTCTTTTCTTACCATTCTGAAGAGAGTTTTTGCTTTTCTTAGTGGTTTTGATTTGTGTCTTAACAGATTGAAGACAATAATGAACAGAATTAAGGTTGCATTTCTGTGGTCAGTTGGCTTAGCAGTTTGGAGTATTTATGCATGTGGGACATTTTCTTCTACTGAAGAAAAGGGTTTTTTTTCTCCTCTAGCAACGAATATAGAGAATGATAAATGAGAGATTTGCAAAATGTAGGGTGATTGTTCTGTTTCAACATATGACTGACAAATGAGAGTTTTCTTACAGACTTATGCAGTAGTTTTGTCTTCTGTAAACTGTATTAAAAATGCAGTCTTATGGAAGACACTCTTTTGGTTTGACAAAGTATTAGAAAACTCTAAATACCATTGGTCATCTGCAGGTGTTGGTGGTACTGAACAACACAAGCTTAGGTTAGATACTTGCAGAAACTTAGTTGGTTAAGTAGAGTTTTAGAGTTAAGAATCCCAGTAAAATACTTAGAGGATGTGACAGCAGCTGTTTTGGGGAACATTGCTTAGCCTGGCTTCAAGGAGGAAGTGATAGAACAAGAGGATGATTGAGTGAACAGCCATTTAACATGTTCAGCATCCTGACTGCATGGTGTGCTACAGTATTATGGCAGCTCAGTCACAAGTTGTTAAAGTGGTACTTAAAGTAACAGTTTTGAGTCTGTAATTATCTCCAAGGCTGCTTTATAAATTCAGAAAGCTAATGGTAAAGCTCTGAAAATCAGACTTTCTCAGGTGTTGGGTACACATAGCAGAGGTTAAGTAATCCTAACTAGAAATAAAACTGCTCTCTAGGAAATGAGAAGTCTCAAAATGAAGAAGCTTGTGCTGGGAAATGTGTTTGTAAAAAGAGGTCTAAGAAGGTTGAGTCGCGTCTTGGAGATTAGGGGAATGTGAATCATCACTTACAGTTCCCAAGTGATTTAAATGTAGGCGCTGGGAGTTTGGCAGCATGGATCAGATTTTGAAAATGGCAGTTTTATACCTCTTGGTGGATAGCAAAGGCTTATTGAGTGCTGGATATTGTGAAGCTTTGAGGAAGTACTGGCAGACTATCCCCAAATATACTATCAGATTTGCAGAGGAAAATCCAATATCAAAACACCCCTTCAAATGAGAGATGCTTTTCCATTGTGTTGATGTAAATTATACAAACCTGCTTTATTTAATGAGGGACACATATTTAATGATGAACATAAAAATGAACACTTTTACCAACTGGAAGTTGTTTTTGTTAAACGTTTGTATAAAGATTATGTGGCTTGGCTTTCAAAAAGTAACAATTCTTAGGCAGCAACAGAACAACAGCTTTAAAATAGGGAAATTATAAATCCAGAACTGTAACTTTGTGAAGAAGTTTTCTCGATATGACTGTTGGATTTGAATTGCATCAATTTTGAATGACTGTGCTGTGGGAAACTATAAAAGTGTTTGTCTCCCGTTAAATGGAACAATACTTGAATCTGTCTTTAAGGAGACCAGATGTGGGAGATGTGTTGAATCAGCGTTATCAGTTCTGGCTGGTGGTGCTGTAGTCATGGCCTGGAGCGGAGAACAGCATTGTCCTTGTCCAGCAGCATCTATGTGGGTGTGGAAGTGTGAGAAGCCCATTAGATCAGTGACATGTTTTCACAGCAAAACAAAGCAGTTTGGAGATTAAGTGGCTGTTTCAGCCCTAACTGGTATATTCCTACTTACAAATCAAATTTATTCAGGCTTCAAAAGGTTGGTATTTAATTAACTGTACCCCCCAGCTGAGCTGTGAAGCTTCTGAGCTGTCTGGATATTTCAGATACTTTAAATAGAGCTTTTTGCTTTATTTCAGTTTTGAGATGTTGAAACATCCTGAAACTAGGCCATTTAAATGCTTTGTAGTAGATGAACTGTGGGGCAAGCAAAAGTAGTATTTTATTGCTTTGCTCACTGTGCTGTGGGTAGGATCCTAAAATTCAGGCATACAAAAATAAGTAGGGTTATAAGGACATTTCTAGGCTAATATAGATGGGTTTAAATGTGGAATGACACTTCTGAAAATGGAGTTTGAATATAGTCATGGCAGGATGCCTCACCATACTGCCCAACGTGTAGAGAGCCTATGGAGTCAGTCTTTTGTACCATCAGCATTACAGATCCGCTTGAGAAGACAGTGACCATTCTCATTCCTCAGTGAACCTTTTCTACATTACAAATTGAGTCATGTTGGAATTTGATCCTAAATGGTTTTGCTGAAAACGTAAAGGACAGCTACATTTCGTATTGTATGTTAGAGTAGTTCATACCTAAAATCGATTTGATGTCTGAAGCTCTCAGTATGGATTTCCCCTTTAATGTGCAAAAAGGAACTGAATTTGTATTGCATTCTGGATGCCTTCACATGAAAGAATGTTACAAGAGCATAACACAGGGTCTCGCTAGCAAGGTGTTTGAAATGCTTCCCTGTTGGTTTGATGTGCCTGTAATAGGGTTTGAATCCCTGTTCCCCCAGCTCACCCCTAGTGAAAACCACTTCTCAGCCACAATACTTTATTTTCCCCTTACGAATCTGGGATGCAAGAAGTATTTTTGTGGGGGTTAGGAATTTTTTGACTTACGGCATGAATATGCATAGAGCTTTGCAAGTGATCTTGCAGAATCTCTATTCATTCTTTAAAATGAACCCCCAAAATCCACCCAGAAGCATGTGGGGTTCACATGTGTAGGGGGCAAGCACTGATGCTGTGTCTCTGCTATACCACCAGCCCCTGTTTGCCCAGGGCAGGGACTGTGCTGATGTCCTGTCTGCAGTCAGCCCCTGTGTAATGCAGCGCTCAGCTGGGTGGTGGCTATGAAGAAATGAAATGTAGAGAGGATGAATGAGACTGTGTCATCAGACAGATACAGGTTTTGATCTCATCCCATCCAGCGAGGGATTCAGGTGCATAGCTGGTTGGCAAACCTCAGAGGAAATTTGTTGCAATAGTATTTCAGCCATTTTTGCACCAAATTGAAGGCATGCATGAAGTGGCATTTTGTTTTGTAGCTCTCGTGGTACACGGACTGAAATGGAGTTACCACTAAATGTGAGATTTGAAATTGCTTTGCTTTTTAACAGCTTTGTATGATACTAAGAAAAACAGTTTTTTAGGAGATGTTCTACACATACTGGAATAGGAGGACTTTCCTGAAGGCTTTCCATGACCCTCATGCAGACTGCTGCTTGGTTAGGGCTGGCAGAACACCCTTCCTCTCCTTCTGTGGTGTGGAGATGCAGTGATGTAGCTGACTCCAGAGTTTAAAGAGTATCTAGTCAAACACTGTATGTCCAGTTTAATACCTTATGTACCTTCTTTATAATACAATTCAGGATTTTACATCGTTATATTGTAACAGTACAGAGAGAGATAAAGCAGAAAAAGTGATTAAAACCTTAAAATTCTACCAGATCTTCACTGTCATTTGACTGTGCTACACTAGAAAGAAGAAATGCCAAATATCTTTAGGACAGAGGACTACTGTATGCTTTCTGGCTAATATAAGTTCCACAAACCTGTGTTACCTATAAAATGAAATGTGTTTTTCAACTGCAGTTACAACTGAGTGAAGCACTGTGAAGTGCTCTCCTAGTCACAGTATATTCAGCTGAACGGTTCCCAGTATATCAAGCATAAAATAATTTATAGATTGATCATTATTCTGCTCTAAGATCAGGACAGGTAAAAATTTATTTCAGTAATATATCTCAAGTTCAGAATGAAATGAGGAAAAGCATTAAGCACATACGGCATAGCGTGAAACCTTAGGGAGCATGGTATGGGACTAAGCTTACTTAATGGCAGTAAAAGTTCACTGCCAAGAATTCTGTAGTCACAGAAGAGCCTTACCTGTCCTATATCAAAATATGCATTTCATAAGTGAGATGAAAATGAATACCCATGTATGGGAATATTAGTCTGTAGATTGTCATCTTTGTCTTGCAGGAGCTCTCTAACAGTCTATAATGTATTTTTGAGAAAGGAAGGGAGCTTTAATTCTGGAAATATTTTGTACTTCAGAGAATTACTCCTTTTTGCTTCTTTTCATTGCAGAAACACTTTGAAGAAGGGAGCTCAAAAAGCCTGTTAGGTTGGGAGCTCTGCATTTGCTTATTTAGAGCACTTATAAGTAACACCAAAGTTTTCATGCATGCTAACTTTTCCAGTCACAAGAACCTTGTCAGTGTAGTCGTAAAAGGGCTTTTTGTTAATCTTGCTTGTGTATGAAGTAGAAAATATGATTGTGTTGGGTGAGTTATTATTCTGAGAAACATCTGGCAGGAGCTGAGCTATACAGTACAGGGCAAGCCAAAGCTTTACCCCTTATAAAGCATCTGGAGACAGATCCTTACCAGAGAGCTTCTTTATGTCTTATGCTTAGAAGCCAAAACTGTAATACCTGAACTTCCTAGCAGCCACATTGGGGTTGATGCCAGAGTTAAAGGTCACTTCAGGTGATAAAAGAACTGACCAGTTTTTAACAGCCTTCCCTTCTTCAAATAGGTAATTGCTGCATTCATCTACTTCTCCCTCTTCCCCCCATTATCAGGCTTTCTGCTTCAATGTTCCCTTACATTATTTTTCTTCTTGTAATCTTCATGTTCACACACAGTGTTTGACTCCCAGAGTTACTGGAAGGGAGCAGGGAGGTGGGTGTAGAGGAGTCAAGAGATACGCAGTATTTAAAAGCCTGCAGTTGGAATGTCACTTCTGGCTAATCAGTGGTGTCAGCTGTGAATTTAAACAGTGTAAAACTTACTTGGGTGAGCCTATTGCCAAAATACATTAAAATCTGGGATTATATTTATATCCTGGCTAAGAATAGACTGAAATAAATTATGTGGGTGCCACAGGAGTGCATTAAAATCAAGGGTTGATTTAAATCTAAGGATTACCTGAAGGGAGTTTCAGGGAGAACCTTCTGAGAGCTATTTAGAATCTGGCTCCTTTTAAAATGAAGGCCATCATACATTGTAAGGTAACTTGCCTTAATTATATTTCTGCTTCACTTTTAAGCTGTAAATTTGCCTTTCTAAGAAAAATGCTTCTCTGTAACTGTAGTGCCTCGTCTCTTTCCTAAGGCCGCTCTAGAATGGAGACTTGAATTAACTGTGTTACTGCAAGTTGAAAGGTGAAGGAATTACCAGGAGATGTGGGAGAAGAGATTTTAAGGGTACAGGTCTGCTCTGCTGTACTGGAATTCAGGTCAAAGATGATGATGATGATATTTGATATGCTGAGTGATACATAAAAGGTGGTAGTTTGAGGGTTTAACAAATTATGATTTCCAGGGGAGTGAAGAATAGGGATAACTCTTCATTAAATCTGTGAAACCATTCCAGGTGCCTGTCAGTCATCTAATACTGTTGTAAAACTCAGTTATATCTGAGATCTCCTCATAAGTGTGGAAGATCCAGGACACTGCAAGGCTGTACTTTCCTGGAATGGCTGGAAGGGCAAAGCAGACTACTTTGGGGCATCCTCAGCACTGATAGTTGAATATATTTGAGTACCTAAATCTCTTCTGTCCAGCATTACACTATTTCAGCAGTAGAATAAAACGATAGAAGCTTGGTTTGCTTGTTTAACCTGGAAAAGTGACATGCTGCTAGGAAAATATATAGCTTCCTCCTCTAACTCCCCATTTCTTACATTACAGCTTTTACGTTGAGCAGGCTGACAATTTAGTGTGTATTTTTAAATCATGAATTATGTCAATACTGTCAAGTTTCGTGTAGAATTTACATTTGACAAACGTGAAGTATTACACAACCTAAACTGCTAAAAATGTATGTGGAAACACAAAAATCTCATGACTACTTAATTTATTAGTATTTTTCCTGGAGCTCAAAAGGGGGATATGAAGGTTTTATTTGTAGAAACGTGGTGGTTTCAGTATAACAGATAAAAGCTTGTTTAAGTTATTTAATGTGTCGTCTTTACATAGAATAGTATAATGCATTCTGATAAATTCTGCTTTCTAGTTCTTCATCAACATGGAATTTTGAAAATATCTTTAGCAGTTGGTATTTAAAACAAAGGGAAAAAGAAAAAAAGCCTTTTGATAAACTTAAATCCTTCAAAATTGTATAAATGGCAACCTGGAGTTAAAACATTGACTCTTGTTTAACAAAACTAAAACTCTAAAATTGTAACAGTTACAGCAAATCTCCACTGGAATTTGAAAGGACAATTTTTCCAAAGCTTTTCTGTGTAATGTGTGCATCTTTGCCTTTTCCTTATTTGCTCCCTTTCAACTTTTCCTGTGACTGACTTGGGTTTATCTTTTCTCCCTTTAGAGAGTTTTGAGGTGACAGTCACCAAAGAAGGTGATGAAGGGTTCTTTCTATGCCTTTTATGAACATTAACCTACTAACTTTGGTTATGAAATGGGGAATCAGCACTTAAACAGAAGATCCTGTCATGCTCTTTTGTCCCATTTATTCTCCCAGTTTTTTTCTATTTTCAAATATATTGATAAAATCTGTATGTAACCAAACCCTTGGTTAGAAATATCTGTAAATCAGACATCCATTTGAACCACTTGGGATTATTGAGCACTATATGGACACTGAAGAAGTTGTTTTGGGGCAAATTAGTGTTTTCTGATATTTCCACTGATAGCTTACTTCTTTGGGACAGCTTTTTTCATATGCTTTGGAAAGTAATATATAACTGCTGAAGCATTGGAACACCTTCCCTGCAGGGTACTTCAGTAGCTTAAAATATGGAATCAAATACGTTTTATTGAATACCTCTGGCCATGTTTGTATCCTTGGTACTGAGATACCACTGCAACTAGAATAGCAAAATAGTGTTATATGTTGGTGCAAGAAGATCACCTTCAAGACAGAAGTTACACAGGTGAAAACAAAGTATAGGTGATCAAAATGTTTGTTGAGTGCCTTTTGTCAGCACAGCTAGGTGTGCTAAGCTCACTCCCCATAATGGGCTGACAGATGGACCTAGTGGTGCCAGCAAGAGGTTTTGTAGTGTCGTATTAGGTTTAGATATGGTTTAAAATGATGTATTAAGCACTTCTCTTGCAAGTTTGTTAAGATGAAGAGTCTGAATAGAAGGGAAAGCCTACTAAATCATTCCATGTGAGAGCTTCCTTGACTAACAGATTTTGTGTGTGTTAGTAGATAGCTGTTGAAATGGATGCCTGAGAAGTTGGTATTTCTACCTTTCTCATTCAGTAGTTTATTTTGATTCCCTAATTTTAGCCAGGTACATTGCACAGGAAGACTTTGTTCCTTGATCTGTTGACAGAATTTCTGTAATTATGGTGCTGAACCTGTACTTGAAGCTTTTTCATCCCTTGACTTGTAACTGTGCATTTTAACCTTTTGCTCTGGTCAAAATGAACAAGCTGCCCAGCTATTCCCAGTAGCTTGGCATAGAAGGTATTACCAGTGGCCTTGGCTGTATGCTCTCATAAGATCTCTTACCCTAGAGCTATATCAAGTACTCCTGTGAAATGCCTGTCTACATTTCTCTTTTTCTCTTTTGTATTCCTGCATGAATGGATGCAAAGTAAACCAGTTGCTTGGAAGGCAGACGTATGCTTCTTTTTACTAAAGTTCCCAAATATCACCCATTTTAAAGCACAGTGCTCTTGCTTTGTCCACAGACCCTCACAAACCCTTGGCTGCAAAATATTTGGTCATTTATTTAAGAAACAAAATGAAAGTGTAATAGTTTTAACCAGTTCTAACCTCTCTTACTTTGAATCTGTAGGTGAGATTTGTGGATTTAAAATTCATGGGCAAAATGTTCCCTTTGAAGCAGTGGTAGTGGATAAATCCACTGGGGAGGGAATAATACGCTCTAAAGAAAAGCTTGACTGTGAGCTACAGAAGGACTACACATTCACCATACAGGCCTATGACTGTGGCAAGGGACCAGATGGAGCAAATGCAAAGAAATCCCACAAGTAAGTAAATCTGTGGTAGGCTGAGGGGAAGTTTGGTTTCAAGAGGTCTCCTGCTCATGGTGATTTATGGTCTGTGTATTTAGAGTAAATGTAAACCAAGTGTTACTACTGAGGGCTTTAAGGGTAATACAAATAGCAGCAAAATGAACATGAGCTGTTTTGACACCTCTTTAGCTGTGTTCTCAATGATCATACAGAATGGTTAGGGTTGGAGCATAAAGCTCATTTGGCTCCTGATAACTGCTTTATCCTTTGATGTGTCTGAATTTGCATTAGAAAGTAGTGTGGGGATAGAAGCAAGAAAACTGATGATATAGTTAAAATCCATCTAGAGTTGATATAAAGAGTTTGCATGGGATTCCAAGTCATTTATTGTTCCAGTATTGAGTTTCTAAAACAAACTGGTTTGAGAGGTCAATCTATATTAAACTTAACCAAAATGGAAATGAAAACATGTTGCTGTCGTTTCCAGACAGCCTTGCTGAAAAAAGCTGGATCAATAGCATACATTTCATCTCTGCCTAGATTAAAGAATGAGAACAAAGCAATCTTCAGCTACTCTTTATCTAAAGAAAAAACCACAGTATAAAATGCTCTTTAGAAAATCCACTTGACAGTAACAGTTTTAACACCCTGGTGTAAACATCTGTAGAGCATGTGGAAGATTACCATCTGTGTGAAGAAAAGAAGGGCATAAATAAGATGAGGAATAGACAGCAGCAGTCATCTTGGTGACAAATATGACCTTGTTACTCTATAGCTGTATGCTTCAAATAGCAGAAAGTTATCTCCTTAAGAATTACAGAAAACCATGTGATATTCAATTTGACTTTTGAAGAAAGATGTCAAGGAGAAATAAGGCATTACATGTTTTGTTGGGTTGGCTGGAATTGTATTCTTCAGTTTGATAGCGTACAGTTCCTTCTCTGCACTGTAGAACTTAACCTGTATTTTTCTGCCTGTGCTGGTTGAGATGGTTATCCAAATTCATGGCTGCGTAATGAAGCAGTGCAGATCTGGCAGCATGCTCTGCAACTCTTCTTTACCCACAGCAGGAATGCTGGGTTTCTGAGACCTGCACCTACAAACCACTGTGGAAATTTCCCTTGTCCAGTGCTGTCTGTGTGGGGTTTTTTGTGGCTTTTAAGCATCTTAGGGTTCATAGGATCACGGACTGGTTTCAGTTGGAAGGGACCTTAAAGCTCGTCCAGTTCCAAGCCCTGTCCAGCCTGGCCTTGAAAGTTTAGCTTGAATTTAGCTTTTAAAGTCAGGAGCTTAAAGCTGTTTTGTACAGAAGGCTGTTTTTTTTTTGGTGACATTTATTGAGCACATAGGATAAAATAAAACCTTAAAGACTTTTACTTTAATGGAAGGGCTGTAGTGATTAAATTCTGTATTAGTTTACATTCCATCATTCACCTTTTCTTCTTGCACATTGGCAGAAACTGCATTATTTTCATGTTCTATATATACCAGCAATCAATGACAAGTGTGAAATGATGTAATTCAAGCTGTTTAGGATAATCTGGCTTGGCTATATGATGTGTTAAAGTGTTTCTTTCACTTACGTGATTCTTCCATTTAAATTTCATTCCTACCTCCAAGAAGTAAGCCAGTTTTCACTGACTTAGCCAGCTCAGTACTTCATTAGCCAAAGCAAGCTAATTAAATGCACTTGACTGAGCTCTGAGTCTAAGACCAGTCTTAACTGCCATTCTTGTTCACATGAAATGAGAACTGGGTGTTTATATCAAGTACTCTGACAGCAGGAAAGAACTAGAAAGATTGTAGTGTTTTAACAGAAGTAAGAGCCTGTTTTGTCACAGCTGTGGTTTGTTGTATTTCTGTAAGACAGTGACAATTTAATGGTTGCAATACAAAGATTTGGATTTTATTTGCAAATAAACAGTAGTAAGCAATAACCTGGAACTACACTGAATTCTATAGCAACACACCAGGAAAACATCCGCTGCTTTCCTAGTTAAGTGGTTGAGACTGGTAGTTTTATTAGTCACTGGTCAGTTGGTTCTCCGAACTGGAATTCTGAAGGGATAGCTTCATCTGTACAAGAGGGAGCTTGTGAAGATTGTAAAGTTCTGTCCTTCCTTGCATGAATAGGAGTTTATGATATGTAGCAACTGACCTTTGTGTTTTATTTCCAGAGCCACAGTACATATTCAGGTGAACGATGTTAATGAGTACGCCCCTGTGTTCAAAGAGAAGTCATACAAGGCAACAGTTATTGAAGGGAAGAGGTATGACAACATCCTCAAAGTGGAAGCAGTGGATGCAGACTGCTCACCCCAGTTCAGCCAGATTTGCACTTACGAAATTGTAACTCCAGATGTACCTTTTGCTATTGACAAAGATGGTAAGAAAATCATGTGAAACGGAGTGGAAATTACTAATAGTTGCCACCCTAAGAACAGGACTTCAGACAGTTCAGCTTAAAACTACAGCAGCCCTGGTGTAACCCTTTCCTACAACATAGTTAAATGGAGGTGTTCACTTCAGCAGTTTGATAATGAGAAATAAGATGTCTTTCAGTGCCAACACCATGTGCTGCTGTCAGGAGCAGATGGTGTGTTGCATGTTTGTTGTTTCTTGTAAAGTGCTTTTCAAAATAGAGGTAGCTGTATTATGTTTCAAACCAGCTCCTGATAGGCTTTTTTTTCCCCCAGCCCTATAGTTTTTTATTCCATTTTAGTATAGCTTTTAAAAACGGGATTCCATGTGTGTGCTTGTCTCATTTGAGATGCTCCTGATGTGGCTCTGGAGATTACAGTGTCATGGTTACTGGTTTTGAAGTGCAGTGATTTGCTTAGGTTGTTCCTTTCCACTGGTGATCTGTGGACCCTTCAAGATCTATAGAACTACTTCTAGGTGTTCAAGCAAGCTGATTAATCACAGCAAACCAGTTTTTAGTGGGCTTTAGTTTGAGTTTTTCAGGAATCCAATGGATAATTTTGGGGAATTGCCGATGGGTAATTGTCATGGGTGTGCAGATTGGTAATTTATGTATCAGTTACCACCTCTGAACAGTTTCATTTTGGGTAATACGCTATTAAGAGTCTGATAAGTATCTGCCTGCTGTTCTGTGTATCTGTGCTCATCTCTGGATTTATGTAATTTTTAAGGATCTGCACCTGATCTCAGGCATTGAAAAGTCAAATAGTGAAGGGCTAATTCACTCCAGTTGTGTCTTAAAGTCTTGGGACCTGTATGAAGTACAGAGGTGGTATCTGGGTATATTTAATGTTGCAGTGACCTTGAGAAATGAATAGAAATTGATGTCTTGATTATTGCTCTTTTTTTTCTTGTATCAGGTTATATAAAAAACACAGAAAAGTTAAACTATGGTAAAGAACATCAGTATAAACTGACAGTAACAGCATATGACTGTGGGAAGAAGAGAGCTGCTGAGGATGTGTTGGTTAAAATTAGCATTAAGCCTACATGCAAGCCTGGCTGGCAAGGTTAGTTTCATCTTCTCCCTGTCTGCTTTTAGCATTTGCTGGTACATTCAGTTAAACATGAGAGACTGTTAATATTGTTCTTTGTATAAATACGCAGGCTGGAGCAAAAGAATAGAATACGAGCCTGGTACTGGTGCATTAGCTCTCTTCCCTGGTATGCATTTGGAGACATGTGATGAGCCAGTAACCTCAATTCAAGCAACGGTGGAGCTAGAAACTAACCATATTGGTAAAGGCTGTGACAGAGACACCTATTCTGAGAAATCCATTCACAGACTTTGTGGTAAGAATGCTTTTGTTCAGATCAAGTCACCTCTGTCTTAGTAGTTTTTCTTTGACTATTCTGTTTGACCACAAATCAGTTAAGTAGATATGGTCTTCATTGGCATGTAGTTTTCTAGCATGCAGTGAAAAGCATGAAATTGGCTGGAGGTGACAAAGTAATTCTCAAATGCAGTAAAGAATCAATTTCTTCTGCCTCTCCGCTGGTTTATATAGACTAATAATTTCCCTCACTTGAGATTCATGTTCCAAGAGCTGAAATAATTTTATTTACAAGGAAGGGTTTAGCCATTAAAACCTCTCTGTTTTTCCTGGGTCATGATGATGGAATCTTACAAGGGTTTGAGTCAGAAGGGACCTTAAAGATGATTTAGTTCCAGCCCACCTGGCCTGGGCAGGGACAATGATGGATGTGAAGGATGCAGTTAAGAAAGACATGGTGAAAAAGCAGATGGAAAACCAGGAAAGTGTGCTTTGGAAAGAAGAGGTTACTTGCATCAGTTACATCCGTACTGTGCTTCTCCTGGGAATTAAGGACACCTTGGTATCCACATACGCTGCAGTTAAAGATCCTGTGAAAAGTTCATGAATCCTTTGTAGCCAACATGGAAGAATTGAGATAAGATGAATTAGCATTAATGATCTGTGTCTTCAAATTCAGTTGAAGTTAGTTGAAAGTATGAATATGATGTAACCTTAGAGACCCAGGCTATTCCCTAATGATGTCACTGGGACATTAATGATTTAGGCTTGAAAAACCAGCAGTCTGAGTACCTGCTGGGTATCATTGCTCCTGCCTGTGATATTCTTGGACAGTGATCTGGGATGGGATGCTTATGCAGCCTTCTTCAACTGGATGGTTATTAGTCTTACAACTGGTGCACCGTTAAGAGAAAGGCAGCATGTGCATGGGCCTGAGGGACAAGTGGTATTCATGTAGTGGTTCTTGTGAGAGAGTCCAAACAAGGCTCTACAGCTGCAGAGATAGTAAGCAAAACAATTCTAATGAGATGTCTACCCAGAAGTTAAATTTATAGAAGTCATTGTGATTATTACATGTTTCTTATTAATGCCACGTTATTTAAAGGGAGAATTGCCTGATGGGTGGTGGTAGTGCATGATCCTGATGGTGCTGAACAGTTAGTGCTCAGCAAACCAGTTTGGTTTGAAACCAGCAGTGGCTACTTTAGTTTCTACCTTTTTTTCATTTGAGTGTTTTTATTGTAGGTGCTGCTTCTGGCACAGCTGAGCTACTTCCACCTCCGAGTAGTGCTGCTAACTGGACAATAGGACTTCCTACAGATAATGGTCATGACAGTGACCAAGTCTTTGAATTCAATGGCACACAAGCTGTGAAGATCCCAGATGGTGTTGTCACAGTCAATCTAAAAGAGCCCTTCATGATTTCAGTATGGATGAGGCATGGGCCTGGAACCAAAGAGAAAGAAACAATTCTGTGCAATTCAGACAAGACAGGTTTGTCAATACTTCAACTGTAAATGATCTCGCTGTTGGGTTTGCTTGGATTTATATGCTGTGATAGCATCTGTGAGATCCTTAGGATTTTTCTCTAGGTTAGATTTTTCTTGTAAGTGAAATGGATTGTGAAAGTCACTTTTTCTTGTGCTTACCTAGAGTCATGGCCTGAGATTGTCTAGCTTCAGATTAGGCAGGCTTGTTTTTCTAGTTCTATTTCAGTTTACATCATACATTTCTTTGCTGTGGTAGATGACTTATCCTTGCAGTGCAGTCTTGATTTGCATCTCCAAAAATAGCCTTTTTCTTGATACTGCCTAAAATCATTTAAATACATATTTCAGGTTTAGTGACAGCATTTGTTGCTGTATCTTTTTTTCTAAGAGGTGATAATTTCTCTCTGTCCAGGGATGAAATTTTTCACCCTGTGCATAATCTCAGTCTCTGTGAATGCTGCAGACACAATTATTTTAGAGATGCTGTTAGTAAGAAGCAAATCTGATAACCCTGTTTCCCTAATTGCTGGCTAATGGGGGTAAAAGAATTCTTGGCTTAAAAAAGCCAAGCAGTGAATTAAAAAAGCTGGAGCAGTGGATTTGTTCAGTGTGTTAGAAAGATATTTCATTTAAAATGCTGCTGTGTTTTTCAAAGGAAACTACATTGAATAGATTTTAAATTTTATTTGAAAATAAGAAAGATTTAACAGTATTTGTAATATCCTAAAAGCATTTCTTTGAACAGGAGAAAAGTGACTGTCATGCAGAACTAGGTACAGATAGTCTCCTCTTCTCCCTGCATTCGCCTATGCTTATTAGCCAAAATCCACACTTTTTGAATTCATGGAAGTGAATGAACTGGAGAAAAAAGGCAAATGTAAATACAGCTTTTCCTGTTTCAAAGTACATGGAAGCAGACCTCCAAAACAAGTTTTCCTTTCCTATTCCTTGGTTTGACCTTACTGTATAATTTTGGTAACAGGTAGTTTCTGGTAGTACAGATACTTGCCTTTGTTTCAATGGTATATGATGCCACATTGAAAGACTGGAACTAGGTTTGCTACAGGGAGGCAGTTTTGACTAAATTGCACTGAACAGCACAGTCAGATTTAATGTGGTCAGTCTGAAAGATTGACATGATTTTGGTGGGTTTTTTCATTCCCTCCTTGCTTGACTCCTCCATGCCGTGGAATGGATGGTGTAGCTAAAATGTTTCTTTTCCTTTTTCTTACCTCTTTCTCTAGCATTTCACCTTTGTGTTTATTTAAAATGATCAATCCTTCACAGCCACAACTACATAGTTTCCTCTTAGGAAAGCATGTCTACTTGCCATGGTGTACATGTTTCTAAACAGTAACTAGATGTGATAGAAGCTACTCACTTGTAACAAAAAAGCTCTTCTGTTTGCAAACAGAGCTGTTCCTCTTTTTCTCCTGCTCACAGGCTCATCTGTGACATGTCTGTTGTACAGTGGATTACTCATAGGTTCTTTAAAGGTGCTCACCCTAACTACCATTACAGATGTTTTGTGTTCCTTTTAACATGTCTGATTTACTTCTACATTTGTTTCTTCCTATCAGCTACTTGGGAATTTATGTATGAAATTGCAGAACAGGTGAATTTTGTGGAGTCCTTAAACTTTACAGAAAATAATAATGCTTAATTGAACCCCTCATGCAGATATGAACCGGCACCATTACACGCTCTACGTGCACAACTGCCGACTTGTTTTCCTCTTCCGCCAAGATCCTTCGGAGGAAAAAACATACAAACCTGCTGAGTTTCACTGGAAACTCAACCAAGTAAGTTTGAAGGGGGCCTATAGGGATGCTGGGGAGGGACTCTTCATTAGGGACTGCAGTGATAGGACAAGGGGTAATGGGTTAAAACTTAAACAGGGGAAGTTCAGATTGGATATAAGGAGGAAATTCTTTCCTGTTAGGGTGGTGAGGCACTGGAATGGGTTGCCCAGGGAGACTGTGAATGCTCCATCCCTGGCAGTGTTCAAGGCCAGGTTGGACGAGGCCTTGAGTGACACGGTTTAGTGTGAGGTGTCCCTGCCCGTGGCAGGGGGTTTGGAACTTGATGATCTTGAGGTCCTTTTCAACCCTAACTATTCTATGATTCTGTGATGTTAGAATGTAGTGAAAGCCATTGGAGACCAAACTACCTGATAGTATAATAATTAATAAGTGCTTTTAGCAGCTCCAGACTCCTGATGTCATATTTTATAGGACACTACAATACTTATTTTATTGGTGATCAGGTGTCAGAGATTCAGTTTCACCTTTTCATCTTGAACATAAAATGCTACTGTAGTGGTTGTACTAAACCCAGTGAAACTCACAAATCAAAGTACAAGTCATTGTCTTGAAAGGCAGGGAAATGTGGGTTTACATGTGAAAATAGTCTCTTAGCTGTGATGGCAGTTATCTTCACTAAATATGCTATAAGGTAGTGTGCATGAGAAAGCAGGAAGTAGTCCAGTTTATAGCATTAAAATAGGATAACAGAATAACTTACCTTCTTAATCCTTTTACACACTGAAATAAAACTTGTGACTCTTTACACATTGTGAGCAGTAGCTACAAATCAGGCTTCTTAATCAGGTTTTACCCCACAAAGAATTAATAGGCCTCTGAGGGATGCAGGTACTTTCTGCTTCCTGTTGAGAAAGAGATTGTCTGTTTGTATTCTTTCAGTCATATATATATTTAATCATTTTAGATGTGAGTATGAAGGGTTTATTAATTAATCTTCACTTTTGTCCTGTTAAATGCTGCAGAACTTAGTTCTATGAATTCATTATGATCGTGAAGAGTGAAATAGAAGGAACTGTGTGCTTTTCTAACTCTCTGGATCCCAGTGATAAATAACACTGTATATCTATAAATTGATAAAGGCTCTTGTGATTGCTGTAGGTTACTGTTACAGGTCAGTTTTGCAAGTTACCTAAGTGATGGGTTACTTTCTAACATATTTAAGGCTTTTCTATTTTCTGTGCAGGACAATGTTTACTGTTTCAATGGTAAAATGCCCATATATGCCCTTATGGGAAGATTGTTGCTTTCCAAAACTAATCAGCTCTCACTGTAATTCTATTATGGAAGGCTTTTTTTCTATTCAAAATAATCACATTTTTCTCTATAAACACTCCCTCATAGCCAACACAGATCCTTTATCTAGTGAAGTTGTATTATAACTATTTCAGAAGGTTCTTGCATGTAGATACATATTTTTACATGGAAATATGCTGTTATTAAAGGAACAGAACTGCACACAGCTTCCAACATTGGCAATAGAAGAAAAGAAACAATTTATAGACACCTAACATCTGGTTTGCTTGTCAGATGTATGCCATGTGTGTGAGACAGGCTCAGAGGTCATTGGTGCATGTGCACAATGAGTATCAGATCAGTTAATCAAGTGTGATTAGAAACCAAAATTAAAGTAGAATGTTTAAAATTGTCTTCACTCAGGTGTGTGACAAGGAGTGGCATCATTATGTTGTCAGTGTGGAATTCCCAGTGGTAACTCTCTATGTGGACGGGGTTTCCTATGATCCTTTCCCAGTGACTGAGGATTACCCACTTCATCCCTCAAAGATAGAGACGCAGCTAGTCGTTGGAGCGTGTTGGCAAGGTAACTATTCACAACTGCTAATACTTTTAGCTTTTTAGAAACGCAGTCTTTGTGGTCAGCCTGGGAGTACTTGTTTTGTCTTTTGCAGATTATTTTTCTGACTAGTTATTGTGATATATTTCCTCTGTTAGTTATTTTTTCCATGAGCGTGTTCTCGCTCGTTGGCCACAGGTGCATGTGAAATAAGAAGCTATTCACCAAGCACATCCCATCAAAGTGATTTTTATGGTAACCATGGGAGTAAAGATGGCTTATTTTTAATAACAGTTTTAAAAGTACATCATAATACTTCAGGTTACTAAGCAGAACACTTGATTTCAAGTAGGTTGAAAAGCATGCGGTAGAAAGTGTTCTCGTAAATGGAGGCAGGACCTGCAGACAATTCAGCTGAGCAGCACAGTGATATTTTGCCATTTCTGCTTATAAAAACAAACGTAGAAAGCATCTGCTTTATTGTATGCACACTATAGCTTAAAACACAATATTCTACAAACTGTCGGATACCAGTTCATGTGCCCTGATCCTTGTGAAACCTACTCTTCCAAGCTTGAGAAAAAGGAGGAGAATGCATCTGAACTTGGATGCTGATTATCAGAGATCTTTGTGACAAAGGTCTTGTGTCACAGTCCTGAACTGAAATGTTTGCTTACTGATTAAATTACACCCTAGCCGGTATAAAGCTGATCTTTTTGGTCAGAGATAAAGCAGTGTTAAATCATTCATGATTTACTGTAGTTCAGAATATAGGCTGTAGTTGCAGTCTGCAGTAATGTGTAGAAGTAGCTTGTAAACTAATGAGAAATGGAAAGCTTTGAGATATAACCTAATTAAGTCTTTGGTATTATAATGTATGTTTTCTCTTTTAAGAGTTTTAAGCCTTTCAAGAGTGAATGAAGGTTGAATTACCAAAATAACCTCTCTGTCAAATCTACTGTTTTGTGACAAGTTCACTATCTTTCAGTATTAATGGTATCTCGGTGCTAAACTCATTCTGTTGTCCCTTCCTCTGAGTCAGTTATTTTCCCCATCATTCATCTCATTCTACTTGTGACTTTCCAACTCTCTCTTCTAACTCAAAGGGAAGCTATAGTGGCTGGTTTTCAAGAAACTGGAGCTTGGAACCTCTGTTCCAGCTGAGTGTGTGGATCATGTAATGGCTTCCGTATATGTTCTGCATCCTAACAAAAGCATATACATTTACTTTAAACCCTGTGCTTTCATGTTGGCACAATTATATGGTTCTTTAATTTCTTCTGACATGAATTTTCTCTTTAGTGACAGCATACTGAAGTAGGAGCATTAAAATTCTGGAATACAAGAACTTGAGGTGCTATCTTTTAAAAATTCCACTAAAAACATGATTTTTAGGGGATTAGAACACAAAGGGGTGGGAAAAAGAATGCCAGAGGAGTGAAGTTACTGCTTAAGGCCATCCTCTTTGTCTTACCAAGATCTGAAAATAACTCAGGCTGCTCTAAGTTACAAACACAGCTCACCTCTAAGGAGAGAGAGATTTTATGCTTTTGAAAAAGTTCTTTTGACATTTCTGTTAAAAGATTAAATGCTGTTTTCCACTTCCAGTGTTTCTCCCCTGAGACGCTTTCATCTGACAAATTGACTGCTTAATAATGATAATACTATTATTATGATAAAAATTCTCTGTTGGTGATGGCTGGTTTTGATCAGCGTTTAATGCCTTGTGGTGATTTGCTGATACAGGCTGGATTTCACCTTATGTTCCCCTTTAGTAGTTGGGAGAGAAGAAAATCAATTGAGCCAGTTGATTGGCCTCTATCTCATCATTAATAGGGGCTTGTGTGAGATCGGGTATCTGTGGGTAAGGTGTTCCCCAATGGGACTGCTTTTCCTGCAGCTTGTGTATGGGGCTCTTCAGGTTGTCTTGTCATGAATGTTATGTTCTTATAATGACATAGTAATGCTTCTTCCCTGCGTTGCAGCTATTCATGTTGCAAACAACTTGTAATCCTTGAGAAGCTGGGTCAAGTATGAGCAGGCTTTGGGGGGGGAAGTACTGCTTTGTATTTCTGTGATAAGAGAGTTTGCCGAATTGTAACTACTTGGCCTTTTCCCTGTTGTCCTGTTCTTTGTCTTGCTTTTCTACAGAATATACAGGAAATGAAAATGACAATGAAACTGTGCCTGAGACCTCTGCAGGTTGCTGGAGTTTTTTCCCTACTGTTTTGTTTCATTTTTAAGCCAAGACATTCGCTTCATCTCGCACACAGCATGAAATGCAGGCATTGCATTTGGGCCATTGACCTTCACATAATCCTCTCCTAGGCTTGTTTCTTCATCATGCTTCTATTTCCAGAGCTTCATCAGCTGATTTATATTTTTTTTTGCTTTCTTTTTATTCTTTTGGTGGTTTTGGTTGTTTTTTTTGGTTGCACCCAAATGGAACATCCATGTACAATTCTGCAACCATTGTGACTGCAGTGAAGTGGTGTAAAAATAAGTCGTTGATGTAAAATAGCAGCTATAATGTCTTTCAGGCAGTTCTGTTAAAACATATCTGCACCTCATCCTGTATAGATACAGATACATGTAGGTATGTGTGATCATAGAATTATTCAGTAGGTTGGGAAAAACCTGTGGAAGTCAGGTAACTGCTCCCCACTCAAAGCAAGACCAATTTCATATGTAGATTAGATTGCTCATATGTAACTCAGAGACCTAGAATCAAATGATAAGAAATTGATATAAAGTTCTAATGACAGTGAATGGGCATCAAAGCTTTGGCTCCCAGGTGTTTCAGGTTGGCTGCAGAACTGTATTTTCTTAGAAAGTTTTACTGATAGTTCAGTGGATTTTGTGCCTTGACTTGAGGCATTTAAAATTAGTGTGTGTTTCTCAAAGTGTATTTGAAATCCTACTTGTTCTGTGAAGTTGAATGGTCCAGATGTAGTTGAGAATAGGTTTCTAGCTGTGCATCACATTATAATTTGGCAAGGAGGCAACAGAAGCTGGAGCTCTGTAAATCTAAACTGGAAAATACATCATTTGTCACAGCACAGTTCGCTACTGAAAATTGTATCGAGTTATGGCAGGGATCTTCTATCACTTAGAATCTTAAAAGGAGCTCAGACATCTTTCTAAATCTCTGGTAGCTTAGCAAGTGATGACCTTGAAATCCAGTTGCTGGGTGGTGGTCTGTGGCCCCTGTTGTTTAGCAGGATGGACTCAGTGGCCATCTGGATCTCATCTTCAAGAAATCTAAGCAGTGAGGAGCTTATTGGGTTGTGGTTCATTTAGACTTAACTATCTAAAAATGAGTTACCTGAGCTTAAACTGCTTGCTTTAGTCCATGGAGAGAAGGTGGCATCTTTTTTGGGGAGCAGTTAACTCTTAGACACCTTTTTGAGAATGAGCAGAATCACTTTGTGAAGTGTATTTCTATCCTTCGAGTCTAAAGAGAGTCTGTGTTGGCCAGTTTAGATGTAGATAACATCTAGAGGAAGGATGCTCTTCTTTTTTATCCCGATGGGCATTGCCCTTCTTGTAGAGAAGCAACTATCAGGCAGCATTACCTGAACATGAAGATCCAGGTTTCATGGTTCATCTCATTGGTTGTCTGTCCTTTCTGAAGAACACCACCTCGCTGTATGGGCGATGTCGTTTGAAGCGTTTGTTACAGAAATACTAAGCCTGAGTTTCACAGTTCGAGATGGCCCCACGTGTTTTGAAGGCCATATGCATGGGGAACTGTTGAATTCTTTCTTTATGCTTGAACATAATCACAAGGTTAACACCCAGTATGGATAAAAACTAACCTGCATGTGTATAATGCTTCTGTGGTCCCAGAAGGCATTTTCGTTGTATTGCAAAAGGAGCTGAAAGAATCAAACCATGTAAGGGTTTTTCCTTCCTCCCTCTATGAAGGTGGTGAACTCCGCATGGCTCAGTTTTTCCGAGGCAACCTGGCAGGTTTGATGATCCGTTCTGGTAAACTGGAGAACAAGAAGGTGATAGATTGCCTGTACACGTGCAAGGAGGGACTGGATTTGCAGATGGCTGATGGTGTTGGCAAAGGCGTGAAGGTAAAATTGCATGTGAATAAAGGAGAGTGTGTGTTGCTTTGCTGATAACAGTTACAAGTTTTGCTGGCAGAGCTGGTAGGGGTGTCCCAACTAAAACAAGCTAATCCATTGTGACATTCTGCAGTAAAATCACATGAAAACTAGGAAATCTTTCTTGCGTAGACATGGGCTTAGTGGAGTTTAAGGATGGAAGTTAGTGTGTTCTCTTCAAGTCTTGAAGAGAAAATCCGTATTTGTAAGCCTCTCTGTTTCAGCAGCTATACCAGTTTGACTAACAAAAGATATTCTTAACAAGCAGCTTAGAATGAGACTTACCTTGCATGCCTTTTTTGGTAGCAAGGATGTGTGAACAGAGCTGAATTTCTCCTTTATATTAGCTGTCTCTCTTCATATCACTATTACTATAATCTCCATGTCAGAACTCTGCTAAGTGTCTAGATATTAAAGAATGAAGCACTAAATATATTCCACTGAAATAAGGAAGTGAATAGAGAGGTTAAACTGTACTGCAGAGCCAGTAAGTAATGGCCTTACTGCTTTGAATATAGGTGTAATTATCCTTGTGTTTGCCAGGCTAAGCAGTGCTGAACTTCCACTCTTAATTGTTAGATCCTGTTACTGTTGGGGCATTCTCTTAGGTTCTTTCTCTGTTATTTCAGATCCACATGAACCCAAGTCAGTCAACGCTGACTGTGGAAGGGGATGACATTGACAGAGTTGACAAGGCCATGCAGCACATTTCCTATCTGAATTCCCGCCAGTTCCCAACACCTGGGATTCGGAGGCTGAAAATCACCAGTGTTGTCAAGTATGTCCTGCTGCTGAAATAACGTGTCACCGTACAGTGATAACTGCAGCCTGAACGATGGGGATGTATATCAGTTGAGATACATGAGGGAGTCTTGTGTGTAACTATCACACATTTGGATACAACAAATGTTTTCTGCACCAGCACCCTTGTTTTCTCCCTGAGAATGTAATAAGGAGTGTGTAAGATAAGGAGGAGCTTAAGCAATGCTGTGCTGTATGTCTCCAGTATCAGAGTCTTCATTAAAGGTATTATCTATGGCTGTTAGTCACAGCATTAGAAAATGGGCCAAATGTTAACTGTAAGTAAAAGGTAATTGAAAGATTGCTCCCTTGGTGGGGAACTCCTGCTTTCCAACACAGTTGATGAATTTCTCTCAGACTCTTGGGTCTGAGACAGAGCTCTTCAAAAATTCATAAAGCAATTACTCTGCATAATTGTGCCTCCCTTTGAAATAGCCTCCTTAACTGTGCAAAACTGCTCCTCTGTCTCATAGATGTTTCAATGAAGATGCCTGTGTCTCCATTCCTCCTGTGGAGGGGTATGTAATGGTCTTGCAACCAGAGGAACCGAAAATCAGCCTTAGTGGCATCAACCATTTTGCCCGCTCTGCTTCAGAGTTTGAGAGTTCCGAGGGTGTTGCCCTCTTCCCTGAGCTTCGCATCATAAGCACCATTACACGGGAGGTGGAGCCAGAGGGAGATGGAGATGAAGATCCTACAGGTAACATCCTTTTCTGCTTAGGACTGTTGCCTACTCTCACCCCATTCAGTGATCATGTTGAGGGATCTTCATCTTGCAAGGAGGCATGGGTTTCTCTTTTAATACAGCCTAGTAGGGGAAAAGAAGCTGTAGGTCTCTTGTGAGAAGGTTTAGATGCTCTGCTCTGGGCTGACAGAAGTCTTCCTGGAAATAGTAGTAAGCCCAGGCCATTATCTTCATGTAAATATCCTATATTTGTATATGTATATATATATCTTTGGTATAATTTTTTTAATCATTATTTAATGTATATGTGCTCCCCTAACTTGAGGCCCAGATCTTAATGTTTGTTCTGGAAGGAGGATTGAGTTTTGATAGCCCCTGGGCTCTTCTCTACTTCACCTTTGTTTCTCTTACCTCTGTCTTTCTCTGCTTTTCAGTCCAAGAGTCGTTGGTATCTGAAGAGATCATGCATAACCTGGATACGTGTGAGGTGACAGTGCTAGGAGAGGAGCTGAATCAGGAACAGGAAAGCCTGGAGATTGATATGACACGATTACAGCAGAAGGGCATCGAGATGAGTAGTTCCAACCTGGGCATGATAATCACAGGTAGGGGTTCCTGCTTCTGGTCTGTTTCTAGGAAGGGTCTGAAGACAGTGATAATGGGAACGATGTGCTAGAGGTGATTTATAACACCTTACTCAAAATACTTTGGTTTGACCAGTTTCAAGCTCAGATGTGTTCTAACTATTTTGTGGAAAGCTAGATTCTAGAAAATACATAATTCTAGACCCTCCTTTCTGTTCTTCTCTCATGTCCCAAATTGCAGGTTATCTCTGGACTGTAGAAATGAAGTGCATTTGGCCCCAGAAAATGCTTTTTTCCTTGCACAAATAATCCAGTGCTGAGGAGCATGCATTATTCCTTTCTATTTTATATTCAGAATATGCTGATGTACTCAAAAGAAAGGCTTCCAAAATCCCTTCAAAGTCTAAGTAGGTCTAGGATTTTATCCCAGAATCAATCCATAGAATTCCAGTGGAGCTAACATACATGTCAGCCAAGAAAACTTACTTAAAGAAAGGGAGTAATATTTGTGGAGTATATGATGTTGTGCTAGTCTTTTGCAAAGTAACTGTTGTACTTGTCCATCTCTCTCCCCAGGGGTTGATACTATGGCCAGTTATGAAGAAGTTTTGCACTTGATACACTACAGAAACTGGCACACTGCTTCCCTCTTTGACAGAAAGTTCAAGTTAGTGTGTTCTGAGCTTAATGGGCGCTATGTCAGCAACGAGTTTAAAGTGGAGGTATGTGAACTAAGTGATCACTGAGAAGTTGTAGAGTGTGGATGGCCAAAAGGGAAGTTGTTGCCTCAACTGATGGATAACTGATCATTTATTGACTTGGATTTTTGCCCTGTAAATAAATATTAACCAGTGATTGCATTTCAGGCTGCATCTTAAATATAACCACGTTCTTAATCCTGCATTTCAGCTTTAAATAAGGCTGCCTAAACAGGGGTTTGGCTGGTATGGCTAATGGAAGTGTGAAAAGGAAACACAGGGCAATAATTCAGCAAAGAACTAGCAAACAAAGAGTGGTGCTATCAGAGACTTGCATGGCCTTAATGTGTAACTGCTGGGATATGGAATTACTACGCCCTTCACTGTTTAGCCTGTGGGGTGCTTAAATTACTGATAATAAGGGTTTATGTAAGGACACAGGCTAACATTACATTTCCTCTGCAGTAAAGTACAGGCTAATTGTTACTTAATATGCTTATATCAAATATATGGAAGTCCAGCAGAAGATAACATAAAGGGCACCAAAATTTCAGGTGCTGGAATGTAAGGTCACTTATATGGAGCAGAACTGTCACAGATCTCTGCATCTTTCAGCTATGAGCTTGAATTTCTACACCTTAAGGCTGACCAAAGGGCTGGCAGTGAAGTTAATAGTATTTACAGCTAGTTGGGTGATTGTGGTGGGCTGGGGAGCCTCCTGAGCTGCAGAATGGAAATCCTTGTGTTAAGGAACGTGGGTTTGTTTCCTGAGGAAATTCTGCGAGCTGAAGTTGGGATCTTAGCAAACTGTTGAGCTGCAAATGCTTTCCTTGTCCCGTAGTAAATGTGCTCTCTTCCTGTTGTGCAGCTGCTCAGGTACCCGGTGTCACAGTGTTCCACTGCAGGAGGGTATATTTAGCTCTGCTTGTTTGGAAAGGAAATGTGAAATGTGTGGTGCATATGATGAGCTTGCAGTTGTTCCTAAAAGCCAGTGTGGGTTAAACTGGAAAGAATGGTTTTATTCTTCTTAACCCTTTGACCATAGTAAGGGTATTTTCTTTGCTGTTAGTGAAAGATACACAGCAAATAAGATGGGAGTGAAGAAAATGTAATCGATGTGTTACAGATCCTTCTAGATGCTCTTAGTTCAGGATTAAAATGGCTGGCTATCAAATTTGATTATAAAATGGCTTTATCTGTTTTATGCTGAAGTACTGGTGTCTGTACACAAAACAGATTGGAGAGCTGTGAAACTGGAGGGGTTTGTGACAAGGAATTGTAACATGAGGAGCTACTGCTAGGGATGGTTGTCCCCTGAGACAAGCCGTTGTTGTGCTGAAGGAGAATTGGATGCCTGCTCTGGGAAATAAATATTTATTTATATTCTGTGTATTATATTCTGTATATTCTTTCTTTCTCTCTTCAGAAGTGAACTGTTTCATTTCTGGAGCTTAGTGTTTTCTTTCTGTTCCTAGGTGAACGTCATCCACACCGCTAACCCGGTTGAGCACGCCAATCACATAGCCGCACAGCCGCAGTTCGTGCATCCGGTGCACCACACGTTTGTTGATCTCTCTGGTCACAACTTGGCTAATCCTCACCCATTTTCAGGTAAGAAGGCTCAGTCTCTGCAGTTCAGCTGTAGTTTTCTGGTGTTAAAACGGTACCAAGGCTTCTGCCTGCAGAGAGGTGTACCCAGAGTTTAAACCACTGTGCTGCACTAATAATCTAAGCCAGCTACTCAGTCCTGTTCTGCTGTTGTCCAGGTAGGGAGGGGATTAGTAGAGGTCTATGAAATACAGTTCCTTCCTTGGCAGATGGGAGGTGTACCAATCTGGAGGGCACTCTGAGACCTGTGGCAGTATTTGTTCTGGATAGCATGAGCAAAGACATGCAGTGCTATTCCCTTGATGGTATCTGTCCTTTCTGGCTTAATTATGTTAATTTGGCGTGGGTATGGGATATGAGAGGAAGAAAACCAGGCATTTTAGAGAGGAGTCTGTGTGTGTGTGGTAGCATCTGCTTTCCATGTGTTGTCAGCCCTTCAGATTGATGTAATTATACTTAAGGAACTAGGTTTTAGTTCTCAAGGCTCCAGCTGCCTTTTTAAGAGGCCTCAGCCAAACTGCCTCTGTGCAGCTACATCTGTTTGTATAATGCCATTTCCCTCTTGCAGGAGCAGAGGACTAGTTACTGGCATTGTGTAAGAGTTACTTATGAGCATCAGCTAAGAAACTCCTTTTATTTTCTTGTTGCAGTCGTTCCAAGCACAGCCACTGTTGTGATTGTGGTGTGTGTCAGCTTCCTGGTTTTCATGATTATTCTGGGAGTGTTCCGAATCCGAGCTGCACATCAGAGAACGATGCGTGACCAGGACACTGGGAAGGAAAACGAGATGGACTGGGATGACTCTGCTTTGACCATCACTGTGAACCCCATGGAGGTAACGCTGGTGCCTCAGCACCTAACAGAAAATGCTCTTTTGCAGCTGTATTGGGTGTGATGGACACAGTGGAGTGAAACCAAGTGCTGAACCCAGAGTAGAGACATGAACTGTGAGTTTTTAATGAAGTGACAAATGCCAGGAGCAGTGTTTGGGATCTTGCAGGGGTTACAGCTTCATGATGCCTAATTGGGTTTACAGGCCGGTGTCCAACTCTGGTGTTCATTGTGCTGCATTAACCACACTCTGCTTTTCTTCAGCCGCAAGGCTTTACTGTTGAAACATCCGTGTACATGATGTTTGTTTCTCCTGTGGTTGGTATCTGAATTTAGGAAATGAGGAACAAGATGTGCAGCCTCTGCTCTGTGTGTGACCCTACTGGAAGATCTTTTCCATTAGCATTGGAACAACTGGCTTGCACTTCAGAATTAGTTTGCTCAGTGTGGCAGGGTTGGTAGCAGTGTTACAAAGCTCTTTTAGAGAGCTCTCCTTCCTTTTTCTTTCCTGATTGTCTCTAATTGCTGCTGAACTCTAAACCCAGTAATGAAGCTGTAGCAGCTCTTTCTCAATATGGGGCCTTGTGCCTGAGTTCAGAAGAATGGAAAGAATTTTAGCCATTAAATCAACAGTAATTTCTGTCTTAACAGACTTATGAGGATCAACACAGCAGTGAAGAGGAGGAGGAGGAAGAGGAAGAAGAAAGTGAAGATGGAGAAGAAGATGACATCACTAGTGCAGAGTCTGAAAGCAGCGAGGAGGAAGAGGGAGAGCAGGAGGAGGACCAACAGAATGTTAATAGACAGCAACAGCTGGAATGGGATGACTCTACCCTCAGTTACTGATTCTAGCTGTCCCTTTGTCTTTATGTTTCTGCTCTAGAAGACTCCACTGTAACACACTCCATTGTTACCAAGGATTCATGGTGTTTAAACAAAACAAAATTCATTCTGGCCAGTAGATTCGAGCCCCACACATCCCCGTGTTTGTGTTCTGTCAGCTAGTTCCTGATGCTGTTCCTAGAGCTGTAGTTAGCCCCTCTCCTCCTTCAGCCATGCCTCAGTGACTGGATTTGTTTTACCGCTATGTGAGGAACCACCTTGCACTTTTCTCTTCATGTCATCTCAGCTGGCTGACTCGACAGGTCTGTAGCCATTGCACATGAATTTCTGAACTGTTTTTTTTGCTCAGTGAAACGAACTTGGCTTTGTTTCCTTATTTTCTCTTTCTAAAAGATGCAAAGATTGCTTGTCGACAAAGGGTAAAGCTGCTCCGTTCAGCCTCTTCATTTGTTTTCTTTCCCCCAAATTAGTGCATGTGTAAAGTGGCAGAATGAGGATAATATGTAGAAGATTAACAGACTTTTTAATATTTTGTAAATATCTTGGAATTATGTAATTATGTCATTTGTGGTAGTGAAAACAGGGATTTGGGGTTTCAAACATGCTCAAGTAAAGCAATCATGCAGCATGAAATATTACAAGTCTTGTTCTACTGCAGCAGGAGCACGGGCACCGTGATCTAGTGTAGATGTTTCAGTAACACAGTGTCATTGGCCTTGACTGCCATGTTCGCTCATGCCCCGCTCTGGTCTTTAGTTTTTCTTTCCTTTTCTTTAACCTCCTTTATTTTAGCAGAGGGAACAGAAGCTGGTGAGGAACTGTAAAGGCTTCAGCTGCCCTGTGCAATACACTTTGGTTTTTCTTTTCTTTCTTCTCCAGTTAACTCTTGGCACGAGGGTGTTTAAGTTATTGGGGTAAAAACACTACTTGGATGGAGGCAAAGCAGTGTGTGGTTGCTGTGGATACAGGATGCTGCCTGCAGTACTGAGATGGTCTGCTTGTACTGTGGGCAGGGAGGTTAGTTGTTCAGTTGTGGGTATGTTGGTACCTGAAGGTGGGAAGTGTGAGACCTGTGCACCATGGCTGTGTCTGCTCAGCTGCCTGCTTTGGGGCATAGCTGATACCAGTTGATCAAACACACTCCTGCTCATTCCCTGTAGCCCCTTGTACAGTAACTGGGACTGTCGGTGTGTTAAGCCTTTGTTTACACTTAGTAATTGTGTTTTCCTGCTGGTGAAAAACTATAGCATAAATTATCCACCCAAAAACCTTGGGAATCATGTTAATATTATTCCAAGTGCGGGTGATTTTGGTTGTTTCCGATCAAAAGTTCCAACTTGGAATTGCAAAGGACTTTTCTAAATAGCTGAAAGGTACGAAAAGGAGGTTGTGGCCCCGTGGTGGAGAGTGCTGGTGGTTTTTGCAAGGCAGGGCTTGTTTCTTTAACTTTATTAGGTCTTACGCAGAGCCTTGAATAACAAATACCTGCTTATTTGAGTTTTACGTTTGGAGGTGGATTAAAAAGAGTAACTTGTTTTGCTTGTGACAGGGGACTAGGACTCCACTCGCTCCTCAGCACGGTAAGCAACATTCCAGTTCTTGCTCTTGTCTGTAGTCTGCCTTTGTCCGTGGTGCACAGCCCCTGTGTGTCTCAGCAGGCCAGGCAGGGCCGTTCATTGTGCTGGAGGAGCAACAAGAAGCCAAGGGGTGGGGTACAGAGGGTCATAATGATGGATCCAGATCCATAGTTTGGATGTTCAGAGCAGACGGGATCTACCGGCGGGTTTTAGCTGGGGTAACGCTTGACTGCGGAGTGCCTTTTGCGATAGTAGGTGGACCTGGAAGCAGGGAGGATGAACCCACACCAGGAGCTTACTGGGGTTGGGGGTTGGTTTTGTTTTGTTTGGTTATTTTTTAATGTAAAATTTTAGATTTCTAAAATGGGGAAATGGTTTTGACTCCTTCCGTGGTAAATAACTGCTAGTTTGAAGTAACCTGGGAACCTTTTAACTTATGTCTGACAGTTGTCCTGTGTTAATGTGTAGAAGACTTATCCTTCCATATACTGTTGCTGTAGCTGCTGTATTTTAGACCAAAACTGATCATGACTTAATGGTAATGCTGAAAGGTTGTAAACGTCCTGATGCAGTTTGTAGCCACTGTGGGTATAACTTTTCAGATGTGTATATTGGTAACAGGTCAGTTTGGAAAGTCTATAAGCTACAATAAATTTCTGGTTCTAATGGTTGTTTGCATTTATTTCTCATTGAATGGTATAATGTTGCATCAAGTCACATCAAGCGTGTGGTAATTTGGTTCCCTCGTGGCAGTAGAAGAGTTTCGTGTTGAGCTCTTAAGCATAGAAAGACTTTGGCCACGTGTGTACAATTTATCAATCATCTCTTTTATTTCTTGACTTACAAAACATGTACCTAAAGCAACTGAAGGCTGAACGTGTAAACTTTCTCTTCGACAGAACCACAGGTTGGCTTAAAAAAATACTTCTTTTTGTCAAAGGCAACAGAATGAGCACAATCAGTTCGTACAGAGTTAACAAAAATAACACGGAACCATCTCTAAATAAATAGAACTGGAAAGGGGGTCCTTGGGAGCAGGTTTATAAAACCAGAAGCTACTTATTTATAGTGAAATGTCATAGTTTGGAAAGTGATTGAAGTTTTTAATCCTCAGTACAATTCAACTATCAGGGGAGCTGCTGCTTTGTACCTTTGGAGTCAGAGGCTCTCTGCTGACCCGGCGTAGCCATCAGTGCATCGGGCAGGAGCTGCTCCAGTGGTGGATGAGGAAGGGCCTCCTGACACCTCACCGTGTGTTCACTTCTTGCAGGTAGGTCCGTTTCTAGACTGAGTACCCTCTGTAAAACTGTGCTGGATTGAGAAACACCTTTGGAATTGCTCAGGTTTTGCCATTTACACTGCTAGAACCTTGGTTTATTGCACTTCTAAACTGGAAGGACAGATGCCAAGAGCCACTGCTGCTTTGTACCGCTGTAGAACTATGTAAGGGCCTGAGGTGGCTGGAAACAGGACCAAAACAGCAGCTGTACCAAGGATAACCAAGGAGCCTGCTGGCTGGGTCTGTCTTGCTGCGCTGCCACAGGCACGAGCCTTGTACTCATTTGTAAGAGCAATTCCCTTAGGTTGCCACATTTACACAATTGTTTCTTCCCTCCCACAAGCATCTACCAACCACGGGTAAGGTGGTTATGGTTTCAGTGCATCCCAGCTTGCAGGCAGCCTGGTACTGGTGCATGCTACTTGCTCTGTAAATCAGGTTAGTAAGGAAGGAAATGGCAACACTTACTTACGTATTGTCCAAGATGGAGCAAAGCTGTGTGGTGACAGAAGTCTGCAAGCAGAGAGGCTGGGCACACCCCCCCAGGGGAGGGACAGGAGGAGGAGGTCACCTCCCTGCTGGGGCAGGGGTGATTCAGGCAGGTGCTGTGCTGTTCTGTCCCTGCTCAGCATGGCAAGAGCTCTAACCACTGCAGTATTTTCTAATATCAAAACTCCTGGCAGGACCTGAGTGGTGGGCTCGTTTTTTCCTTTTTCCATTCTCTAGTATTTCAGGAGGATCCCACACCCCTTCCTTTATTCCATAGTTGTGGCAAATTGTAATGTTCTATCTATTCCATTAAGTTTGGGTCTCCACAAATCTGGCTTTTAAAAAGCCCAGTGTGCACAACAGCACCAGACTCTGTTGGATGGATGGAAACTTCTGCACTTGGTAATGGATTGTCTAAGAGATAGAAGCATCTTCCTCCTCCTAATTCAATTTACAGCACCCTCTGGGCCTGTATAACCTGGCACAGGGAAAGAAGATGATGCTAGCAAACAGCTACAAACAAACAGTAGATCTGATGGTTTCCTCTCATAATGTGTTGCCAGTTCAGTTTCATACTAGTACTTTAAGTAAATGCTGTGTTTCCTGCCAGACAGTTGGTACACATTTACCCACCGCTGTTTCCCTAGTGTTAAGCTTAAATGCGTAGTCACAGGAGATGTGAAGCTACCTCAGTTCTAGCTGACAAAGTGGGGTCTGAAACACAAGTGCAGCAAACCCCATTACTTACTGCAGCCATACCTCAGCACTGTTAAACAGTATGCTAAGAACTGTTACAGAATGTGGCTGTAAGTAACTTGGATCACTTGGCAGGGTACATACTGTGGGTGTTGAAATGTCCTGGCCACGTCCCTGCGACAAATGGCATCATTCGAAAGGTGTAGGAAAACATTAGTTTGCTATGGAAAGAAACTGTAAGCAATTGAAATCAGGATTTAAATAGCACTGTGGGAATCTGCTGGTACCTGTATGTAAAGGTAATGAGGGAAGGGTTTGTTAAAGGTGTTTCATATTCCATTCACTGACCAAATCTAGCATTACTACTGTTTGTTTCTACTTAAGATAGAAGTTACTTTAAGGCAGTGTTCACTTGCTCTTCATCAGCTGCACAGCTCAGGTACCTGACCTTGTCTTTTACAGTACAGGGGTACCTAATTTGAAGTATTATAAAGAGCTGAAAGTCAGGAACGAGTTACAGCTGTGTGCTGGATGCAGAAACACCATCAAATCAGATTTCATCCGGAGCAGGGAACAGACCTGGTCAGTCTCTGTCCTAAACTTGCTGGTATTATGGGACTTCTAAGCCAGACATGAAGCTAGATTTACAGGAGGGAGTAGTCAGTCCATCATTAGACAGTACATGCACCTCTTGGCACTTGAGAAACGGGCTCTGAAGTGCCTGGTGGCTTTTTACCCTGTATAAGAGTTAAACAGTTGTGTGAGTAAAAGGAAATTGCTCAGCCTGGTTAAGGGAGTATAAATAAAACAGAGGCTTCAGCTTTCCCTGAAAATGAGACTATTCCTTAAAAGAGAGGAACAAGCACCTCCATTCGACCTGATGTTGGGGAAGTTGGGAGAGGGAAGGAAGGACCCCCCCAGGTGCTGCAGAAGGAAGCAGGTACTAACCAGCTACTCCACCTGTCTTCCAGCATGACCTGTAGGCTGCAGCCTGCTTGATGCCCCTCGCTGTACCTGTGTGAGGCAGCAGTGGCTCCTTTCATCTGTCCCTGCTTAACACCAGCGCTCAGAACTGCTCAGGTGAGGACAGTAGCTGGAGACAAACATGACACATGAGTAGAAACACACGATTGGTTACAGCACCTTGTTGGGAGATGGGACAGACTCTGCTTGGGAGGGAGACAGAGGCAGTGGTGGGAACAGGAGGAGGCTGGGGTAGATGGCCTGTCCTGATTCAGATACCAGCACAGGATGCTCTCTGGATGAACCCAGAGCCAGTCTAATAAAAGGAGTTGTGAGCTGTGGTTGAGAGGAGGAAGAGTGTGGAAGGAATAGGGAATACATTTGTAAGAAGATGAGAACATTTGTTGCGATGGAACTTCATGTAAGTGTTCAGTGTTAAACCCACTCATCTGGCACCCTCTGTCCTGACACAGGAGGGCAGCCTGGCCAAGTAACTGGGGAAGAGAGTGGTAGCATCTGGCCCAGCTGACACTGGAATGACAGTATTATATCCCAGGGATCCTAGAGGTGTAGGCCGGTGCCTGCATGCCTGTATTACTGGGAAACCAGATGGCCAACTAGCTCTAGTGTA